TAAAATAAAAAAGTGTCGGAAAATAAAACCGTCCGAAATTTTTAAGTGGGCGAAATTTTTAACGTCTAAAATATTTACAGTACAGTTTAAAACTTTTAAATAGCTCCAAACTAGTTTGAGACACTGCTTGACGATTTTTCTTATTTGCACGTCGGTGTATCTGTAAAACCGTGAAATTTGTTGGATGTGAGATAATTTTTTTCCGAAAATTAAACGTGCGAAATTTTTTGCAAGTAATGTAATCCAACATCTATGTGAGGACAATTTCGGGCGATTTTGCCGATTCTGCCTGAAATTGCGTTGCATCCTCTTTGAACCACGTTGTAGTGCAAGTGAGACGGGTATGGAGACAATTTACCCAAACCTCAAGCGTGCATTGTGCAGGTCGACAGTGAACTGTCTTGTTTATCGTTTCAGGGACACCACCTTGATGCCGAACATTCGCGGTCTGATGCCTTTGGTGGCGCTTCTTTTCGCTCCATATGCTGAAATGAGGTACGAAACGACGCTTTTGTCTGTGTGTTATCTGCTAGCCACTTGATTTGCGAAGATTCTTCTAAGCTTAACGCATTCCATGTCTTCCTTCCACACATTGTATCCGCAGAAAAAATTTACCCCAGTATTATCCGGGAAGATTGTAACATTCGAACATGCTATGTACTTCTTGTTGTTTCTGTGTTAGCGTGGCTACACGGTGGCATTTCAGTTCCCTCTATTCCCCTCCTGTTTTAGTTGATAATGACCGAAAGTATACTAGCGACGAATTATCCGTCCGACACGAATTAACGGTCTGAGACGGGTAATTCGTCTACCTGAGACGGATAAATTCCTATCGTCTAGGTATAAATCCGCTGTTTAGATGAATTATGTGGCCAAATTCGTCTTTGGCTGGTCTTCTATCACCCCGTCTTGAAACGAATCAATTCGAGACGAATTTGACCACATATTTGTTCTAAACACCGGATTTTTACTTAGACGTTTTCTCAGTCTCAGGCAGACGAGGTAACCGTCTCGGAAGGATAATTCGTCCCTCTTTTTAATTCGGCGTCAGAAAATTCGTCTCTGGTATAAAATCGGCCATCTACTGACAATGAAGCTGTTTTGTTCACAGAGTTGACCGTGAGATGCGTCAGTATACAGGAGCATTAGTTGGCTTGGGGTTCGATCCCAGTACAGGCGAAGCTCTTCTTCCAGATCACGACAGTGAGCTTGTGTTTGACGTGGAGATTACGGAGGATGACATAATCGGGGTAGGATCTACATCCGTAAATAATATCAGCATCTAGTAGTACTTGAAAATAAGAAACTCTACTCCAGTTGTTGACTTGTCTCCTATTCAGATATTGGTTTGGCTCGTCAGGTGCTCTTATCAAAAGAATGTCTGCGTAAGAGGCGAGCTGTTGACCAGCCCCGCCAGCTTTACTAACCCTAGAACATTGACCTCCCTCTCCCCATCCCTTAAAGAGGAGAAAAGTAGGTCACGCATAATCAAACCAAAAACAGTGAAAGGGCAGGAAATAAGGAGGACTCCAAAAAGGGGCCGTCCGGTTGTCCAGGACAAGTGGATTTTCCTGCCAAGCAAGTTACCTTAATTCGCACTTGCCCGATGGGCAAGGGCCCAGGCAAGTCATCTGCAAACTAAATTGCAATTAAAGTAAACTAAGACGTGCCCAGGGCAAGCAATATTTGAGAGCTGCTGGTCTTAGGTGCAAGCTGGAATTTAAGTTTTTTTCGAGCGCTTGGAAGTAGGTTGGCGTTAAAGTTTGCCCTTCCTTCTCTAATGAAGAGGAGAGTTAATTTTGCGTTCAAGGTTTATTAATGTTCTGTGGATTGCTTAACAGATCAACTCGCTGCGTACGGCCATCAACTTGGCATTCCAGAGTGAGCAGCAGATGGCTGAGTGGGGAACTCCAGCTGTGGAGAGAATTCAGAAAGCTAGCAGATCCAAGATCTTAGAGTATGCTTTACTGTTATTTCAGTGTATCAGTGATCTCATTTGTGTTCTTTGTAAGCTGTGTTTTTTGGGCAAGGGAAGGCGCGTCCCATCCAGGGGGGAGTAGAAATACTC